CATCTCATGCCTACAGGAGTGGTGCTGGTGTATAAGATCTGGCTTTTCATGTGAGTACGTTCTGCTCCCCAAGTAGATTTTGTGTTCTTTTTGTAGAACAAGCCCTACGGTTTTGTGTTATACAACTCACAGTGGAAATTCAGCTAAACTGGCTATTCTCCTGCATCTAAGAGGTGGACCCAGATATATGTGTGTGTGGGGGGTAAGAGCTGGGTGTGTGCCTAAGAATGAGAAGCAACGCTTAGTTTTGTTGATATTTCCCAGTTGCCTGGAAAAAAGAGGGTATAAAAAAAAAAAGAAAAGAAAAAAGGGTATATTCTCATATGATATCTCATATGAAAGACCCGAAACACACTTTCTTAATCTGCAATGTAGGCAGTGTTAACCCCTACTCCCAACAAAAATTTTTTTCACCTTTTCTCTCTCCTTATCTTTTCTATTTACAGACCGACTATTAGCTTTTTTGTTGAACTACAATTATGTCTGATGCATAAATTGTATTTTGGTTTCCTGGGGTAACAATTAGAAGTATTTTCTGTAAAAGCATAGTGGTCCCCTTGGGAGGTGTTTTTGTTGTGACTTCCACTGGGGCCTGAACTGAGGTCAGCAAAGTGTTAAAGACATGTATTCTTAGAGTGAAGTTTTGTAGAGTGGGACTCCTTTGGATTAAAATAACAGCAAGCCAACCAAAAAGGGAAATTCACCATGAAGATATGAGACTGTTTCATGGAACCTAAAGATGAGAAAATGTTGACCTTTAGGTATCATATGGAAATAAGTCTCTTATGTTCAGTTAATTCTACAGGTCTGCTTTATTCCTCTTTCTTGGTGCCCACTAGTTTCTGCTTTTTCTATCTATATGATGAAGCATGAGGCTAACAGCTTCTGAGGTTGAAATCCTACAGTCCAAATTATAGAAAAAAAAAAATGCCTGCCTTTATTCATGCCCTAATACCTGAAGAAGGACTTCAGTTACCATCTTGGGCCAAGAGTCCACCTCTGACCCAATAAAATATGGTCAGACATGAAATGGTATTTTACTGTATTGTATTTCTGGGGTAATCATTTGGATGGAGGGTGGTAAGAAGGGCCTGGAGCCTGCAGGAGATATGCTGGGTGGATGAAAGAGTAGAGGTGTGCTACACTCTACATGTGCATAGAGGAGAAGAGTTTACAAACCCCTTCCCACACGTTACATAATGGGAGCTCCATGACAGTAGCATAGCTCAGGCAAGACAGTCACTATTGGTACACAATCATATTACATTACAATTACACATTCACATTTTACATTCCAAGGGCATTAACAAGCTTTCAGAAACTAAGGTAAACTTGTGCAAGATTCACAAATAAGCAGAAAGTTCTCTTTCCATTGTTCAACAAACTTACCTTTCAACGTGTTCCTGAAACCCCACCACCTTCTCAAAGGTAACGAATAGGAGAGTGACACTAACTTAGTTTGTCTTCTCTAGATAAAAGAGCAGTTCCAGGGAAGTGTAATTTCAGGGAAGCAGGCAGGAGGGAAATGAAAAGTGAGAGAAAGAAAGGAAACATAAGGGAGTGAGTCACTGAGCTGGCCCCAACTTTGGAATAAGGTGATTGTTTTGTATTGAAAATTGTATATTTTCAGGGAGGCTGTGTGAAGCTACCCTAGGTGTCCCATGGACAGGGGAGGGAAAGGAATAAAAGTTAATCCACTAGATTCTATTGTTCTTGGTCAAAGTTCATTCTCCAGGGCATTAACTTCCCTGCACTTCCTGTTGCATATGCTTGGAGACACAGCAGAACCTACTGGACAGCAGTAGTCCTAGGGTGGAAGGAAAGATACTGTCAGATCAAGCATAAGAATGACATGAAGGACCAGAGGCAGCCATGAAGGGAGTCTCTCTGGCTCAGCAGACCAGTTTCCATTATGAACTGATCTTCTGCCACAAAGGTACTAGATGACCTTAGCAACCTCCTCTCTGTGGCCTACAAGAATGCAGTTGATGCCAAGGTATCATCCTGAGGACCTCAGCAGCCCATCAACTAACTGTCCAGTCTCAAGAGGGAATGGTGATACCTACTCCTGGATGAAGACTTACTTCAGGGACAACTCTCCTGTGCTACTTGAGATTCGATCAATCCCAAATTTATGTCCACGCTATTCTTCACGAGTATACACACATTTAATAAAATTATTTATTCAGATTTTTTTCTTCTCCTAGAAAGATTTTTGTGAGATTGAGTAGTTTGACTCATTAATTCAAGTTTACTGAGTACCGACTATGCGCCAGCACTATTTTAAGGAAGAAGGATAGAATAGCGATAGGCACGGGGGCACCTGGATGGCTCAGCTGGTTAAGAGGTTAACTGTCTGCCTTCAGCTCAGGTCATGATCCTGGGGTCCTGGGATGGAGACCCGCATTAGGCTCCTTACTCTGTGTGTGTGTGTGTGTGTGGGGGGTCTGCTGCTGCTTCTTCCTCTGCCTGCTGCTCCCCCTGTTTGTGCTCTCTGTCAAATAAATAAAATCTTAAAAAAAGAAAAGAATAACGATAGGCACAGATTTTTGCCTTTTTGAAGTTTACATTTTAGTGTATTTGTGTATGTGAGACTAATAAAGAAATAAGTAAAATATATGTTGGGTTAGGTAGTGATAAATGCTTTGGGTGAAAACAAAGCAGGAAAGTTAGATAGGAAGAACGGGGGTGCGGAGTGAGGGCTGTGCCTTAACCGGGGTAGCCAGGGAAGGCTTCTTGGAGTAAGTAACATTATAGCAAGAGTAGGTATGGATATCCAAATGTGGGGCCTGAGTTGCAGAGAGAGAGAAAATCAAATGTACAGGCCGTTAAGGCATGCTGGATGTTTCCCAAGAAGGCCAGGGGTGACCAAAGCAGAGTAATGGAGAGGCAGATGAGAGAGAAGAAAGTAGATGAGGTCAGAGAATTAATATGGAGCCAAATTATCTTGGGACATTGAAATATCTTCAACTTTCATTTAGGGAGGGTTGGGGGAAGCAGTAGGGCTTTAAGCACAGAAGTGAGCCGGCTTCCATTTCAACAGGATCACTTTGGTTGAGAGCAGATTGCAAAGGGATAAGAGTTCAAACTGGAAGTCAGGAGGCTACTGGTGTAACTCAGGTGAGCAGCGTTGACTGGATCAAGATGGCAGCAGAAGAGGCGATGAGAGATGGAGCTGATAGGATTTATTATGAATAAGGAAGGACATCCGAGGACATTAAAAATCAATCCTTAGGAAGATGATTCCGGGTTTTTGGCCTGAGCCAAGATGACAGGAGAAAACAATTTTAGGGGGGGAGATTAGTAGTTTGGACAGGAAATGGCTCTTAGACATCGAAGTGGAGTTGCTGAATTGATAGTGGATTAAGGAGACTGAAATTTAAGGAGGAGTTCATGGTTAGGGATATGAATAGGGAGCCATCAGTATGACACTGAAGGCCATGGACTGGATAAGATCACCAAGTGAATATAGGTAGATAGAAAAGTAAGGGGATAAAAGACCGACTCTGAGGTCATTCCATTCTAAGCGGTTAGGAAGGTGAAGTGGACCAAAAAGCATACTCAGCATACCTGGCCACAAAGTAGCAAGAAAACCAGAAGAATGTGGTTTCTGCAAGCCAAGACAAGGAGGTGTTTCAAGAGGCGGGGGCTGAACAACTTGGCTACATGTTGCCAATATCGGTACTGAGAACTGACCTTTGGTCAGCAACATGGAGATCACTGGTGAGCTTGAGCAGTTCAGTGTAGTGGAGAGGGGCAAATGCCCAGATGGACGTTCAACAGAAAATGGAGGAGAGAGAAACTGTAAGGAATAAATATAGGCAATTCTTTAGTTTTGCTTTAAAGGGAAGGGGTGAGATGAGGGTGGTGGTTGGTGGGGCCGGGAGAATAAAGAAGTGTGTGATAAGCGCCTATTTAAATGCCTCTTGGAAGTGTCCACTACAACCTACTGGCAGAACCAGGCAGAAAAGGAATGACTGTGAAAAAAATGAACAAAATACCCCGAGAACCAGGTCTACATGGGCCACTGAACTGACTGACCCCCATGGTTCACTGTACCAACGGGGAAATGTACTGTGGGAGTGAAGGCGCCTGGGCTAGGCCTTATAGACCTAACACCATACAGGTTTCAGATTCAAAAAGTAGAAATAATAAACCTGTCAACTAGCAGAGTGGAGGCTCTCTACTGACCCATGTGAAGCCGAAATGTGGTCTGGCGGCATTTTCCCAGAGGTTCCTTTAGAGTGCCAGTTTTAAAGAATGCTGAGTTGCTATCATCGTCCTTATCCTCACTATCATTAGCAAATAGCACCTACGTGCCTAATTTCACCTACCGGCTCATAAATTAAAATAGAGAGCCTTGTTCTGGGGGGGGGGGGGGGGGACTGGTGTGGTGGTGAGCGGTAGTAAAAGAGGCCAGAAGGTCGGGGATAGGGAGAAGGCAGCAATCTGGTGGAGGCCGACTCTTGCCAAACCATCCCGCCCCAGTTCCTGATTTTCACCCTGCCTCTCCAAGCGCGGGAGTGCATGGCTCTTTCTCTGCTACTTCTTCCTCCTTTGCTCCTTGAGCCCCCTACTTCTTCTTTTGCTGTTCTCTCTCAATGCAGGGGTGGTTCTGAAGATCGGCTCCAACCCCTACCTGACTCCCCACCGCCTGTAGGCGCGCGGGAAGCGGACGGAGACCCCTGAAACTCCAGTGGGGGCTGGAACCGGCGTTCTGAGCATGTGCGAGCAAGCCGGGAGGCTAGGGCGGATTTGGGGGGCCTGGCCCAGGTCGCAGTCCTACTCGCGGAGCTAGAGCGCGGGGAACGCAGGAGCGGCCAGCACTCCCGGGAGCCGAGCTTCTGCGCCTAGGGCGCAGCGGCTGCGCCCTACCCTCCGGGCGTGGGCGAGCTGGCCGCGTGTGCCTCCCTGCTTGACGCGTGGGCGAGCCAATCAGGACGAGCGGCCCAGGCAGCCATGTGACGGACTAGGCGGCTCCTTTCCCCAGCGCGGCCAGAGGGAGGAGAGAACCGGGGCTCGCCGCGAGCCTTCGAGAGCAGCGGTCGCGGAGGCGGCAGCGGCGGCACAGGCTCGGGCCAGCCGCGCGCGCATCCCTCGGCGCCCCGCGCGGCGGAAAGCTCAGCGGGCCGCGGGAGCCGGCGATTGGAGTGGACAAAGCAAGATGGCAGGGATCTTAGCCTGGTTCTGGAACGAGAGGTTTTGGCTCCCGCACAATGTCACCTGGGCGGACCTGAAGAACACGGAGGAAGCCACCTTCCCGCAGGCTGAGGACCTCTATCTCGCCTTCCCCCTGGCCTTCTGCATCTTCATGGTGCGGCTCATCTTCGAAAGGTAAGAAGGGCTGGAGCGCGCCTCCCCTCCCCCTACACACACACACACACACACACACACACACACACACTCTCTCTCTCTCTCTTTCTCTTTCTCTCTCTCTCTCTCTTTCACACACACACACACACACACACGCACACTCTCTCTCTCACACACACACGAACCCGCGCGCGCACATTCGCGCGCACACGCACACTCGCGTGCTCTGTGGCGCACGCACCCGCGCCCCCAGCGCTCGCGCTCGCTTCTCCCAACCTTTGTGTTCGGGAGGGGGTTGCCGACCCCTCAGCCCGGCTGCCGTTCGGGGAGCCTGGGAGGATCTGGCTAGCCTACGGATTTCCTCCGGGGCGCCTGGGAGGGGCCGCGGAGCGTTGGGGTCGCCCCCCGCACTCCTCCTGGGCCGGCTCTCTCCCCGCCGCGAGCGCCGGCGAACAAAGGTGAGCGCCGGCCGGCCTCGGGACGCGGCGCGCTCGGCGGGGCTGGCCCCTCTCGGCCCCGTGGGCTGCGGCGCTGCCGGCCAGGGCTTCCCCGTCGAGGCTCGTCGCCACCCACCTGACAGCCTGGAACGTTGCGGACGCGCGGCCGGGAGGGCGGAGGGACCGTGCCCACTTCCAGTCCTTTCACTCCGGCACGCGGATTGTCGAGACTGGGTTTCAGAACTCGCTGGGGACTCCTGGGCTTCTGGCCGCTGTTTAGTTTCTGTCAGTGACCCCGAGCATCAGGCTCACCGTCCGGGGAGAGAGATGACAGTAGTTTTCAGGCTCCCAGCACTCCGGGTCATTAGCGGTTTTCTTAAAAGAGGATATGGCAGGACGGGTGCACAGCCTGCAACATGGTGGTATTAAATAGAAAGATGCTTCCTATGAATAACCGTAAACTTTTGTTTTGTACCAGAGGCACATAGAACATTTTCAAGAACTGTTATTTATCGTTTGTTTAATTTTCGGATTTGGTTCGTAGCTCCATTGTGTCATGAACAAACTTGTGTTACTCTCACTGAATCAGGCTTAGTCACAAAACTCGATTTTGCGTGCTACGCACTCCCGGGAGCTATTGAAACAAAACCAGGACAGCAGCACGTAATTCTTTTCCTCAACTGGAAACCTCGCCTCCCCTTTCTCTCCCCTCCCAGCCCCCCATTCACCGGTGAAGGCTGAATTTCTTAGATCACAGAGTTTAGACTCCATTTCTCACGTCCACTCCACCTCTCTTCCCCTGCCAACTCACCCTTGACTTCGTTTCTTAAGCTTTTGCTGTTATTTTGTTTGCTCTGTTTGTCTAAAACCGCCGTTGAGGATGGCAAAATTTGCCTTTTGTGTCATTTGTTTCTGGAAATGGCAACAGAAAAAGCTTCACGGGAACAAAAAGTATCTTTTTAAGGAAGGTGTATTTTTCAGTGGGCAATATTGATGCTTCTGAACGAAGTCAAATGTTCACATGCAGGAATTGAAATGCACAAAGGAACAGATTTACAGACCTATTTTAAAATGGTTGAAATCCAGCGCAGACACCTCATTGATCCTATCTAGCGCTGAGACTTACTGTGAAAAAGTGGGTGTGTTTGCAGGTTAGAGTTGCTTCTAGAGCAAATGTTTACTTACAGAAAATAAGAACTCATATCTAATTTTGCAATCTCTCCAAGAACAGCCTCTCAGCAACAGCAGGTTGTGCCGGGTTGAACCTTAGTAGAGGCTCCTTACACAGTTGTCTAAGAACATCTGATCACTTCTGCCTGGGCTCACTTGTAATCCGCAAATGCACTTGAAAGAGGTGTGTAGTCTTCTGTTTTAGATAACAAAAGCACGTCAGCTAATGACCTATATGCAGAAAGCTGTTTCCATTAGGCTGAAAAAAAGTAAATTTGTGCTTAGACCTTCTCTGCCATAAAAAAACAAAAAACAAAAACAAACGTAAAAAACGGATATAATTTAAGTTGAAAACTGGAAGTTTGTTATTCCTCTTCCTGAACATTTTTTTTTCTTTCTTTGCGTAATCCCATGACTTGACTTTGAGTTTATACAAAAGGGTCAGCTGCTTTCAACTATCAGTCACAGCAAATGTCCTCATATTGCTAGGTAGAGAGTTTTCTAGTTTCTTTCAGGCCATTGATTCAAATAGAAGTGAATTTAATGGCATGTAGGGAAACTGAAATTTTGTGATTAGTGTTCAGAATACTAATCCTTTTATGGCCCATATACCAAATGATGCTACTGACTCTTGGAAGGGTGTCTACTTTGTTTCTTCTTAGGGTAATGACAGCTCTGTCTTTAACCATTCAGACTCTCCAGTCTCTGAAAATCCAAGTGTATGGTTGTTATCCAGAATTACAAGTTCTGCATGTTTCTCTTCTTCTCACACCTAAATAACACATTCTGGCATCCAACCTGTGACCTGCATCTCAGCATCCATCGAGGGCCTGAACTTGAATCAGCTGATATTGTTATCATTGATACGACTCATTTTTGGTACCTGTCTAACATGTTGTGCTTAAATCTTTGTTTTGCAGTATTCTTTAATGTATAGCGTGACTTAAAGAAGCTTGTTATTCATCCCTTTGTAAAACAGAATGCTTTTATAATAGAAATAATTCCCTCCAGATTCTGTTCCTTTAAAAAAAAATTATTTTTCACTTTTTCAGTGAGCCTGGCTGGGTCAGTGGGGGGAGCATGCAACTCTTGATCTTGAGGTCATGAGTTTAAGCCCCACTTTGGGTGTAGAGATTACTTAAATAAATATTTTAAAACATTATTTTTCTTTGTTATTTTCTAGGATTCTATTCTTTTCATGCTTCTGTTGTCATTTATGTCAAAGCTGAGAGCGTATTTGAAATATCTCATTATCCAAGGTCTTTATGTCCATTAAATGGGGTCTGTAATGCTCATGTTGAGTCCCAAATTGTGAATTTGAATACCTTCCCCTTAGTCTGACGTTTTTCTCTTTCTAAAGAGAAACACTAAAGAATGGACTGGATTGAGCTTTGCTCTGTGGAACAGGCTTATTTTTTTGTTTGCACTCCACTGTTGGGGTGTTGACAGTGGAGGCGTTGGTGGCCAGAATGATGCTGTGTTATGGTGCCATATGGGCAACAATATGGATGCCCAGCATGGTTGGTTAAAAATGGAGCAGCCTAAATTCAGTGATTTTTGGCTGAGTCTGTGAATAGCCCTAAGCTTGGTGGTTTTTAGCATAGCCCTTATACTGTACTTAACTCTGTGTATAACTGGAAGGGCCTCTGTAGATATTATTTGTTTGACAAAGTAGAATCTGTTGTTTAAAAAAAAAAACCACAAAACTCCATGGTTTTTCTTAGAATGAAAATTATAGGGTATACCGTTAGGTAGTTAGCTTGATGGCAAGGAACAAAATATTATTTATTGTTTTACATTTTTAAAGAATTTTAATTTCAGTATAGTTAATATATAGTGTTATATTAGCTTTAGGTATACAATATAGTGATTTAGCAGTTCTGTGCATTACTCAGTGCTCATCATGACCAAAATATTATTCAATAAGGTGTCATTACCTATTGATGAATTTTTTTGATTTAGGCTTAATAAGCTGTTCTATGGAATTATGGTAAATGCCTTCTTCCAAATTCACTTTTTAGAATGCATTCCTGGGGGCACCTGGGTGGCTCGGTGGGTTAAAGCCTCTGCCTTTAGCTCAGGTCATGGTCCCAGGGTCCTGGGATCGAGCCCCACATCGGGCTCTCTGCTCGGCGGGGAGCCTGCTTCCTCCCCTCTCTCTCTCTCTCTCTGCCTGCCTCTCTGTCTACTTGTGATCTCTGTCAAATAAATAAATAAAATCTTAAAAAAAAAAAAAAGAATGCATTGCTGTAGGGGTGCCTGGGTGGTTTAGTTTGTTAAGCATCCGACTTCATCTTAGGTCATGACCTCAGGGTCCTGGAATTAAACCCCCCAAGTGGGTTCCATCCGTGCTTAGCAGGGAGTCTGCTTCTCCCTCTCCCTTTCTGTTTGCCCCTCCCTCCTGCTCACATGCTTGCTCCCTCTCTCTCAAATAAAATCTTTTAAAAAATGTGTTGCTATAGTATTAATACATGTTGGATTAAAGTTCTGCTGAATTTCTTTTTGGGAATAAAAATTCCTTGAGTTATTGTTGTAACAGGTAATGTTAATACACTTTCTTCCATGTAGTTTAGGAGAGAGATGCAGGAAGTATTGATTGAGAATCAGAACTTTCAAATTCTAGTCAAACTTACCTCAAACTGGGGCAGCTGCCTAAGTTCTCTCTGCCTTATTTTCTCATCTATGCAGTGAAGCAGATGGCCTTTGTAATCTAAGATTGCTTTTGTTCCCTCAGTTATCCGATTTCTGTATTCCAGTATTTCAGACTTGCTAATATCTCATAAAACCTTGAGCAGGCTAAATGTCATTTTTTTGCAGGTAGAAATAAGTCATCTAAGAATAAGGAGATTTTTTTTCATGCAAGTATTTTAGTCAGTGGTTTTTGTTTCTTATATTTTTCAATTACGATTTGAATTAAAAGAATTATTTGGGCTATTATCCTACGTGATCCAAAAAGCTACAGTATTTTGGAATAATTAACAAAGATGATTCTGCAGAGAAAGTCGTTGCTCTCTTTCCTCAGACCCTATTTAGATAGACCCTAGAATCCACCTGGCACCTCTTGTGATGACTTGATATGAAATGAGAAACTCATTCCTGTCAGGCTGGCTCTCAAAGTGCCAAGCTATGTGAGAAGTGTCACTATTCAGGAACCTGACACCAGTCAAATGACCTGCTGCCCTCAGTCCTTCAAGGAACAATAGTGTCTCAGTAGTATGAGAGGGAATGTCTATCCAGTGGGCTTTTTCTTATGGATTTACTTAGTAGCAACCTTGGATGAGGCTGGCTAGAAGAGAGGGGAAGGGGAAGGGAGGGAGGGAAAATGAGTGAGAAAGTATTCCTGATGGCTAGAGGGAAGAAGGGAGGTATGAGGGAATGTCTGCCATGAAAAAGCAGACTGTCAGGTGAGTTTGA